CAAGACCGATTTGATGGTATCAGTTTGGCAAGTTTGGGCCAAACTCCCATATTGAGCTTATTAAAATAGTACAAGGATAAAATATAAGGGCCGAAAGAGATTTATTGGGCCCATCGACCCAATACACGTCAAAGACAATATCTCCTTAGAAGTTCGCGGTTAACGAGCTCGTCAACCCATCCAAACATGGCAGAGACAAAACAACGGGGTAGGTGACAAGCTGTTAGAAGCAGAAAACTCGGAGATATTTTTTTCTAAATAGATAAGGAAAAATAAAATATAGATGGTATGAATGATGATTAGACGAAAGATGGTAAGAGGTAAGTTGTACACTTCTGTCGGATAAAATACGGTCAACCCCTGAGGTAAGGTCAAATTACAAAAAAAATCCCTCATCTTTGATTAATTACAACCGTCCTCATCAACTATGAATCTTCTTACACGTCCACCATTGCTTTATCAAATTTAGTGTAATCTTCTAGATCATGTGAAATAGTCTCCAATTTGTACCCGTTTACCTCATTGGAGCTTCACATTTTGAAACAAGATGATCATAGGATGTGTTTCTTGGCTTGTAAGTATCAGATAGTGGTGCATCGGAAATTGCATTTTTGCACAAAATGAGTACAAACTAGAGAACATTCCACGGAATCTAGAAAATTATGTTGAATTTGACATCATAAGAATGAATGTGTAAGAAAATTCATAGTTGAAGAGTAATTATAAATTTATAATTACCCAAATATAATGATTTTTTTCGTGATTTACGCTTATCTATAAGAGGTTGCCGCAATTTATCCTACTTTTATTTAACAACAAAAAATAGCATTCCAATTTTAGCCAACAAGAAATACCAGCACCTCTGCAATCATTCTGCAAATAGCTGTTTTTCTTGAAGAAAAAAAAAGGCAAGTATTTATAGTCAATAGATAGCTAACTTTGAAAGGTGGTTTTACTGTTGGATGAAAATGGCATCTAATCTTAAGCTTTAGGTAGGGTTATTTATTTGCCCACAGATTTAGAGGGTACAACTCTTAACAAATCTGATGTGGCTTGTTTATGGCCTCGTAATTTTTATCTGACTTTTCATTTCATTTAAGCATTTTTTTCCCATTTTAAACTAGGGCAATGTTTGGATTTGGATTGGTTTCGAAAGTTATTTTTATTTTATTTTGGAAAAGTAATGTTTGGTTATATTTTAAGATGAGATGGAAAACAATATTTTAAAATAAGAATTTGAAAAATAAAGAGATTTTAATTTGTTTTTAGGGAAGACATTTTAATCGGTAGCAGTCAACTTTTTTTCAGTGTAGCAGTTAATTTTTTTTCTAGTGTAGCAGTCAAAAATATTTGGAGGAGAGATAAACTTTTGAAATTATTTTTCTTTAAACATAAAATTCATTTTTGGGAAAGAATAAAAATGAGATGAAAATCTTAACAAACATTATTTTATGATCTAAAACCAATAATAAGTTGAGACATAATTTTTTTCTCATATATGATCAAAAAATATTTATGGGTAAATAAGTAAATTACACCTATACCCCTAAAGTATGTTAAATAATTTTAAGGTCCCTGTACTATCCGTAATTACAATTATCCCCTGAAACATTGTTAGAAACCCCAACAGAATAATGCATTGGACAAGTAATTCCGTTAAAGGTCTAACGGACTATTAGTTTGAGGCAGTGGTGGAGACAACATAGAGCTAGGGGGTGACATGGCTCTTCTAACATTTCTTAAAATCCTTATATTTTACGTACGGTTTAAAAATTTCCGTCTATGGTAGCATTAACGGCCCCCGCATGAAACAAATATAGTGCGCATCGGTCCCCATGACATGAAATCTTGGCTCCGATAATTGTTTCAGGGGTGTGGTTGTGATTACCAATACCACATAGACCTTAAAATTATTTTAACATATCTCAGAGGTGTAGGTGTAACTTATCCAAAAATATATGATATTTAAACAAACAAGTTTCTAGCTTATAGGTGCACTTTATCAATTATTCAAGAAGCAAAATATGATGAAACGGTTACGCAATGTATGACTTAGCAGTTGGAACAAGTGAACTTGTAACAACTTAAGATCGAATCTCCTTGCCAACGATTACTAAATCGAGTTTGTCATAACTCACACATGATTAGCCTAGTGTATTTTACGTCTTTTGCATAATTTTGCAAGCTACTATACTTATGATGAAACGTACAATTTGATTATAATTATACAAGAATTTGATTACGATCTTATGAAGAGCAATAAACAGACAACGTATTGTCTATGGGTAGCAGAGAAAAGCAAGGGCCAGGCCTAAGATAGTGGTTTCTGCTTTACAGGATAGAACAATTACAGAGTCCAAATATTCATAATTAATTAGGACTCCCACCACAATTCGTGGTTGGGACGGGGGTGGGGGGGTGGGGGGGGGGGGGTAGGGGTGGGGTGGTTCTTCTACTTTTCTCTTAATAATTGAACAAGTTTTTAAGATAATGAGTTAAATACAAATTACAGCCCGATACTATCATCAGCCTCGCATATACCCTATGTATTATAAAATGCGACAAATTGGCCTCTGCCGTTAAATTATATTAGAGAGTCCGTTTATTTTCAAAGTTGATCATCTATGCACTAGATGTTGGACAATTTCAGACAAAAATAACCCCATGATTGTGTATAAAAAATGTGCCTCTTTCTTTCTCTCTTGTACTCAATTTACTCTCTTTTTTTGCATGTTTTCCCCTAATTGTATTTTCCACAACCTAAAATTTCACCCAAATTTTCCGAAAAAAAAATATATATTCTGAAAATTATTTATAATTTTCTTTGAAATTTATGAAATTTTGCAATTATATTCCCAGCTTAAAAATATCACTCAAAATTTATGAGTTTCTTTTATTTTTGATAATATTTTTAAATTCATTTTAGATTTTTGAAAAGAAAAAAAAAATTGAACTTTCAACCTAAAAATTCTCGATTTAAAATGCGTTCCATAGTTCTAATTCTCAAAAATCATGCATTTCAATTTTTACGTCCAGACACTACAAGATATATTTTTCTAGAATCACTTGTCGATGCCACATGATTGTTACGTAATAAAGTAAGAAAATTGGCAAAGTAATAAAATCAAAAAATGCCTACTTATATCATATAAATGTAAGGGTAAAAAGGTAAATACGGTACATAAACTAACGGTGTTAGAGATTTGAGGGTTGACCTTTAAGTCGATGGGCCATTTTGTCGCATTTTGTAGTACATGGAGGTATATGCGACACCGATGATAGTACATGGGTGCAATTTGTATTTAACCCTAAAATAAACGATTACAATAAAATTCCTTAGTATCTAATGTTCCTTATTATCTCTCTAAGGGACAATTCTAAGTATAGGCGAGATAGGCAGTGCCCCCGGGCCCTTGATTTTTAGAGAAAATTAAGGTTTCCAACATAATGTTTTTATACATACTGATCATAGCGTTAAATGATATTTAAAATATATAAATAGTTCAACAATTTGAATAATCATAACTATATTATTTTATATAGTTGAAGTATTTGTTGAGAATTTTACACTTATTCTTGCAGATGCGAATGAAATATCCTGGATCGATTATAATTAGTTAGATATTGAGTTATTCTATTAAACTTTTATCTATTTATAGATTTTAAACTTTTTTCCCCAGCAACCTTTGCATTTTTTATAATCTAGATTGAATATTTCTAACTTCAAAGAGTTTTGGCAAGTTGAAATCCAATAAATTTTATTTACCATATTTAAACAAATATTACATATATTTATTTGTTTAATAATATTTTTGTGACTATTTTCAAAAAATAATTGGTGCTCTGCCCCGAAACCCATAACTATTAATTACCTTAACTTTGTCAATATTTTCTCCAAAATCTGTGGATCAAAAAATTATTGTCCAAATATTCTAATCATATTTTCTCCAATATTTTAGAGTAGTTGTATCTTTTTAAATTGTACTTCCTCGTCTAAAAAATTACTCGTTTTACTTTTGTAAGTTGTACCAATTTATTTTAGTCTATCTATAACATTGATAGTTAAGATGCATTTACTTTTTGTTATGGGATGTAGAAGTATAATGAATTATATATTATATATATGTGTGTGTATGTGTGACATGTAGTATTAATACAATATAATTTATATCATGTGTGGTATATGAAATTATAAAATTTAGTTGTTTGAGAAACACATTCTCATAAAAATTGTTACGTAGAGTCCAATGTCATTTTTGAAAAGTAATTGTGGCACGCTTGCATTTTTAGGCACAAAAGCGTAAGTCTTAGATATCGTTTCAATTTCACTAAAATTGTTTTAACTTTGAATGTGACTTTGCCTTTTTAATCTTGTTTTGGCAAATTCAAAACATGAAAACTGTAGTTATTTGAGTAAGTTCTTTAATCCAACTTGAATCAGCTGGATTGAATCAACTTGAATCGACGAACAAAGTTATGCATGAATGAGTTATATTTTGAATTTCAGATAACTTAAAACGTCAAAATTGTAGGTAGTGTTCAATTAACTCATTCATATTTTTCTCACCCAATACCCAATCTTGGTGTCAAGTTGGATTAGAATATTAACTCAAAGAACTAGAAGTTTTGTGTTTTGCCAAATTTGAAATCGAAACGGCATTATTAAATTTGACACAACTTTTATCACATTCTTTTCACAAAACTACTAAGTATCATCTCAAATATTTTTATTATTTTTCTTTCTTTTTCACTACCAATTTTCAATTAATTGATTTTTCCTTTCTTATCTTAATGGAAGGATTTTCCCTTTTTTTCCCAGGTAAAAATGGTATCTTCGAAATAATTTTCTTTTTTATTTTTCCCATCACATTTTCTTCAAACATACTTATTCTGTTTAAATTATTATTTTCCTCATTTATGGAATACTAACTGTGCATCGCACATAGAGAAATAATAATAATAATAATAATAATAATAATAATAGGTCGTGTTGTACTATTGGTCTTTGAGATGCTAAACTTGGTGAAATACATCGGGTAAACTATTAACCTTTGGTGTGGTGAAATAACTTCTCAATAAGCACACATACACATGGATGTGTGTGACTGTGTGCAGATCAACGGTTAATAATCACTCGATGTATTTCACCGAATGTAGCATCAAACAAACCGTGTTGTAATAGAGCAAATGAAATTGGGCACTTTCACCATACATACATTAAACCCCAAACAAGGGACTCTACTATTTAACCCCTTTTTATAGGCCGAAAAGAAGAAAGAGAAAAAAAAAGTGAAATTGGGGTTAAATTAATTGTGTGCTGTGTGTGTGAGTGAATAGTATGGCAATAAAGCCAACCAACGAAGTAACGTCAGTATGATCACAAGCTTTTTCTGAAAGCGCACACACAGTCACTCTCTTAAATGACTGTTAGCTCTCAATCATCCATGGATCAAACCTAGGGTTTTTCTCTCAATCTCTCTCTCCTAAATAACCACAACTCGCCGATTTCGCCGATCCGGATAGTCTCCGTTCATCACTCCTCGTTTTTTGTGCCGCCGCCGCCGCTGCCGCATCCCCTAATGCCACCCGCCGCCGCCATCCGGAAACGGTGACTGAAGAACTCGTGAGTTGTACTTCCGGCGAAAAAATCTGTTCGGATGTTTGATGCCGTTAATTTTGGAATTGAATTATGGTGATTGAGTATGTTTTAACTGTTGGTAATTTTTTTTAATTTTTTTTTGTTTTTGTTTTGTGGAGATGGAGGAGTCAGCGTTGAAGCTGCTGCATTAGGAGTTCGCTTTGGGTACCGGACACTGATTCGTCGACTGCCGGAAGTTGCGCCGGAGAGCATGAGGTGTGTAGTTTCTTAATTTTTAATTTATGTTTTTTGACATTGATCTGAAGGATGCTCGATCTGTTTTGTTTTAGTAATTTTGTAAGGTGTGGTAATGGTTATCTATGGCTGATTATTTACATATAGGATTTTTTAAAAGTTTATTGTACCTGGAAAAATTAAATAAAATGTTTAATTTTATTTTTTCCTTCTGTTTATCGTCTTTGGTTTTTTATGGTAGATTGAAGTAGTCAGACATCTGTGTGTGTTGTTTGGTCATGTGAATTAGATAAGTGGACGTGCGTCTCGTTACTTTAGCATAAAATTTGGAAAAGCCTTGTTTTGCCAGATCGGTAATATATTGTGAACACAGAGGTGTGGAGTATCGTAAGGAAAAAAAAAATGGTGATTTAATGGCAATAGTTTCGCTATACGACTCATTATAAGTTTGTGACAGTTGAATTTTTTCCAACTTCGTTAAACAAATGCATTTTTGGTTGTATTCGTCGGGACTGCTTAGCTACTATTATCGATGAATAAATTCATCCCTTTTACTTTCTGCCTCTCTCTTGCAAATTTGAACTTTCGAGCAAAAATGGGCCGTCTACTCACCTTGTGCATGTTGCGAGTATTTACTACTTACTAGAGAAAAGCTAAGTAGGAATCAAAGTGAAAAACAAATCTGGAGATCAAACTTCTTCACGACTCCTGTCACACCGGAAAAACATAAGTCATAAGAAAGAAGAAAACAAAAATCACATTTCAGATTTCGGATTTCAGTAAAAAAAAAATTATCACGAAGAATTGCAATAAGATGATTTTCTATTTTCGTTGGTTTAGAAAGTATTATACTTGCACAAATCCGTATACAATCCATGACTTATAGAGAGCGTGTCTGCATTTTCTCAACATTGCATATTCTAGAATGCTTGTGTCTCACTGTTTATGGAATTCATGGAACAAATGATTTCATCCTTGTCATATCCGATTGAAATTTCCTTGATAATATTGTTTTCCGACCTTTTGTGGCGACCAACAATGGGAACAAGTAGCTGGATTTGGAGATGGACCCGAAAATTAGCGCTGAATTCTCAACTAGTTCTTGTGAAGAAAAGGAGATGATTGCCAGTTCTACTACATCAGTACAATTGGACAAAGTACACGAAGAAAATAATTGTATCAAAGAAGAAAAAAGTCCCTCAGATTCTGCCTTAGCATCTGCCTCAAACCTTGGTTCAGGAACAAGCTTAATTCAGGGAGACGAAACTGTAAGTAAAGCGGAGGGTACAGTGGTCAATCCATCCTTTAGTAAAGCTGATAAAGCAAGAAGATCCTCACTTCATTTAAACAGTCCTTCCGGCAAGAGGAAAGGGAAGGTAAGCACAAGTGCAATCCATAATTGTAATGGGTTAATTGCTAATGTATTAAAGGCACTTTATCCGCATTAGAAAAACTCGTACATACAAACTCGGTACAAATACTTTTTTTTTATTTCTCTATCGTTTTCTGGATTATTATCTTAATTTTTCTTCATAGGTGGATTGGACACCGGAGCTGCACAAGCAGTTTGTTCAAGCAGTGGAACAACTTGGCGTGGACAAGGCTGTGCCTTCCAAGATTCTCGAGTTAATGGGAATCGATTGTCTTACTCGTCATAATATTGCTAGCCATCTTCAAGTATGTACACACCTTGTGCTTTTTTCTTTATTCAATTATTAATTTGTGCATGGATAAATAAATTGAGACAAGTGGAGGGTTCTTTTTTCCTCTTAATATGCAGAAATATCGATCCCATCGGAAACATATGCTAGCTCGAGAAGCAGAGGCAGCAACCTATAGCCGGAAGCGGCATATATATGGAACCACCGGCAAAACTGAAAAGAGTAATGTCAATTCTTGGGTAGTACCGACCACAAGATTCCCTCCAGTGACATCAGCGCCTAGTTTTAGACCCTTGCATGTATGGGGTCATCCATCTACAGACCAATCGTTGGTGTACATGTGGCCTACTCATACGGCTTCTTTACCATCTCCTCCTTCGTGGGCCCCACCTCATCACGTGGACCCTTCTTTTTGCTACTACCACCCCCACCTACAAGAAGTAAGTGTATTAGCAAACGTATTTACCAAATTCACTCACTCTCTCGTTTCTCTAACGTCACACCGCCTTTACGTAGGTTCCAGTACCAGGAATGCCTTGCTTTCCGCAGCATTTCCCTCCCGCGGTAATTACTAAACCCTGCTCCTTTTACATTGATTTTTATTCCTGTCTGAATTCAAATAATTTTTACAAAAAGTTTCACTTAATTGACTAATTACAATCGTGCAGAGGTTTCCACCTACGTACACGCACAGCGTAGCACCCAGCATTGGCGTCCCAATCGCGCCCACGGAGCAAACAGTGCCGCAGTTGCCATTTGACTCTCACCAGGTTAGATTTCTTTCGTTGTTCCTTTATTTCATTTTCGGTTAGTAAAGAACTAATTGGAAAAGATAGACTTCGATTGAATTAGTTTATTGTCTCTCTCCCTACAAATTTATATTTTTTTCCTTATGTTACTAGTAATAAGAACGAATATGTTGTTCCATAAACCCAAAATCGACTACATTTGAAATAAGTTTGCACACACATTTAAACATTACTGTATTTTTTCTTACTTCGTGTTCGTATTTTGTTTGTAGCAATCTAAGGAGAGCATAGACGCAGTGATCGGAGATGTATTATCAAAGCCATGGCTGCCGCTGCCACTTGGATTGAAACCCCCGTCTATTGATAGTGTGATGATGGAACTGCAACATCAAGGTGTATCGAAAATACCCCCTTCCTGTGCTTAAGTAGCCGTGTTAGGTGCTCTCGTTTTTTGCTGCTTCTTTTTTTTATGCCAATAATAGCAACATTGATCGTTTTATTGCATTTGGTGTCGGGTGTCGTGTTTTATTTCACTGATGTACGCCGAATGTGTAGCAATGAAATGAATAATACACATATGCTGTGTATTAGATAAACGAAATACAAGATGCAATAGAGGATTCAAATCACGACAACGTAACCCCTCTATTTATGTGTATATTTTAATATCCAGTTTTGTAAATTGTTTTCGGTTCCTTTTTCGGTATCTCTTAGCTGGCTCCAAGAGTGTAGATCGGAAGAGTATTTAGGTTGCGTTTGGATGGAAGGATTTGAGTCGATGATTTAGAATTTGTAATTAGAAATTCATTGAGCCAACTAACAGTGCACTATGTATGAACTATGAAGTGTGTGTGTTAACTTCTAGTTTCATATTTGAGAATTTAAAAATAATTATAATTTTAATACCTAATAATCAATGATAATATTATGCAATAGTTATTTCAATAATAGTTATTTTAATTCATGGTAATGGCACTTTACAAATAAGTCCATCAATGGGTACTTATTTATAAAGGGATCCACAAAAAAGTTCTTTTACAAAAAAATTTATACATTGCCCACAGGTTTGTAAAAGACTAAAATAACCCCTCACATTTTAATATGCTCCAATTTCATCATTTAATTTAATTTAATTTAATCTGAATTTGACCCAAATTTCACAAATTATTTAATTTTGACCCAAAACACAATTTTGAGTACAATTTCGTCCGCCGCCGTTCTCCGGCATTGACTTTTTCTTTTCCTTCCTGATTTTTCCGCCGGTCTCCGGCGTTGATTTTTTCTGAATTTTCTTTTTCGATTTTCTTTTTTTTTTTCTGAATTTTTTTCTTGAACATTTTTTGCCGCCGTTTAAACAATAATATTGTTGTGGTTGACAGTAATATTAACTATATTACTGTTAAACAAAGTAATATTAACTGTACTACAGTTTAACACATTAATATTGTTATATTAATCTTTAGCACAATCTATATATAATATAAAAAGAGGATCTATACCCTCAATGACTGACATGTGGCAAATGATGATGTCATTTATCAAAATTGCTTAGTTGGAGTCAATCGATGATGTGGATTCTTCAATTGGTGAGTTGTCAATTTTATTTTGGTATGTATTTAAGTTATTTCCTATTTAACATTTATACACTCATTGAAACAATTACCACATGTATATATATTATTTCCAAAGTAAATATTTTATAAATTCGAAATAAAAAAATCTTATTTATATTTCAGTATTTCAAAATACATTTATTGAAAAAATTCACGATACTCAATCTTTTTACGAATATTCAAATAATTTTCAAAAAAAAAACATTTTTTTAATAGTAAAATATTAAATTAAAGGAATACAATTGTTTATTTTTTTTTTTGAATTTTCAATATTTTGGAATATTCGAATATCCATTCCATTAAAAATAATTATAATTTTTTTTAATTGTACTATTTAATAAATATACAATATTTTTTGTATATATAACTTCTATTATACCGTATTTCAAATAATACATTTTTAATATGCTATATTTAATATAAAAATAATATTTTTACAAACGATTAATAATTCAAATGAATCTATCAATAAAAAAATTATCAAGATATATGAAAATGATTAAATATAGCATATATCATTGATTAATATATATTATATCAATCATATTTTAAAAACTAATTAAAATTCAATCATTCCATAAATTTTTATATCATATTAATTTGCATTTATCCTTGGAAATATAGTATATTTATAGACTTAGGTGTTTACAAATTCGAATTTAAATTAATATATTAATTTTAATATATTATGAATTTTTTTTTTTTTTTTTAAATTAAAATTAATAAATGTGTGTATATTTCATATATTTGGAACATTATCTAAAATTTGAATATGCATTTAATTTTATGATTGAGTTTCTAAATTTAATCTGATTTTTTTGCTTACATTTAAAAATCCGATTTTTTGTTATGCAATATTTGGTAAGCTATGTATTTAACAAATCATTTTTATTTAAATTAAAAAAAAAATCCGTTAAATGTGCCAACATATTTTTGAAAGATTACATCTCATTATTCATGAAATTCGTGTAATTAATTATATGAATAATTAAAAGATTTCTTCACCTAATTAAATCTGAATATTTAGTTAATTGCATAACTTATTTTTACAATTAATATTTGTTTTTTATTAATATATTATTTACTTTTATATGTATCAGTAAATCAATGATGCCATTAAGAGGGTGTTTGGCTAAGCTTATAAGATGTTAAAAGGAGCTTATAAGATGTTTTAGAGCTTATAAGCTCTTCCAAAGTGTTTGGTATTTTTTAAAAAAAGATCTTATTTTTTGTTAAATAAGCTGCTGGAGACCAAATAAGATCTTTTTAAATAAGTACCTCTCCCCACCTTTTTATTTAAGATCTTATAATGAGTAAAAATAGGAAATAAGTTCATTATCCAAGCACTCTAAAAATTAATCTTAAAAATAAGATGTAACAGCTTATCAGCTCTAAAAACATCTTATCAGATGTAAGAGCTTATCAACTGTTTAAAATAAGCTTAGCCAAACACCCTCTAAGTCCACCCATTCTATCTCATTCATCACCTACACAATTTCAATATCATACATCTCTCTCTCTCTCTCTCCTTTTTTGTTAATTCGTAAATTTCTTTTTGTAAATTGTTTGTGTAACATCGGATTTAGTTTATTTGATTCACGTAATTTTGTTGTATATTTTGAAATTCTTTAGTATATAATATTCATATTTATTATTTATTCGTATTTACATAGATTGTATACTATTATGTGTTCGTTTGATTTTTTTTTCCATAATTATGTTGATTTTATTGTTTTTAATATAGTTAATTAATTATTAAAAAATAATTTATGTTTGTATATATCTCACATCACTCATTTAACTCATGGATATATTTTTCTATTTTTTTGTTTATTTTTATTTACATGGACAAAAACTAAAGTACAATCATCTTTCTTCCGTCGGTTGCATAAAAGTGCATCATTCTGCTAGAATGATTTTATTCGAGGAGCAGATGTAACAATTAAATTATTATCATTTTAAATATGTGTTCATATATTTGTCTATACCAAGTGTATTGAACTTTTTTTTAATACATTTGTTTTAGATTTAGTGTTATTTTTTTCTCCCGTGGTAGAACATCTCAACTGCCTTGGAGTGACTCTACAAAAGTTATATACAAGAAAACAAAGTGAAGAATTTGATTTAAGAAAAAAAAACTTGAAAGTTTATTTATATATATGAGTATATAGAACGCATTTGATTACTCTTTTTATTGATGTATTTATTATATATAAAGAAATGCATTTGATTACTTATATCAGAGTAATCAAATGCATTTTTTTCTATATTTTAGTATTAGTATTAGTATTAGTATAAGTATTAATATTAGTATTAATATTAGTATTAGTATTAGTATAATTATTGGTATTGATATTAGTATTAGTATTAGTATTAGTATTAGTATGAGTATTAGTATGAGTATGAGTATGAGTATGAGTATGAGTATGAGTATCAATATTAGTATGAGTATTAGTATGAGTATTAGTATGAGTATCAGTATGAGTATTAGTATGAGTATCAGTATGAGTATGAGTATTAGCATTAGCATTAGTATTAGTATTAGTATTAGTATTAGTATTAGTATTAGTATTAGTATTAGTATTAGTATTAGTATTAGTATTAGTATTAGTATTTGGATTAACATTTGCATTAGCATTTGCATTAGCATTAGCATTAGCATTAGCATTAGCATTTGGTATTGGTATTCGTATTAGTCTTAGTATTAGAATTAGTATTAGTATTAGTATTAGTATTAGTCTTAGTATTAGTATTAGTATTGTTGGGGTGTGAAGCCTAGGATTCAATGAAAATTCGCAAGAGGTTCTAGATTAGCCGATTTTAATTTTATTAACATGCTCTGATTAGATTCGTTTAAAGCAAAATAAATCTAATCTAGCAACTTACAGAATAAATACTAATGTAGTAAGTTTTAATTCCATATTTAATTACACGATTTACCTTCAAATTGTCACTACAAAATAACGTATAATTCACATATTATTTTTTAATAAATCAATAATATAAGAAAAAAATCCGGCTCATTAATTACAAGATTATAATCATATCAATAATAATAATAATTCATTTTCCTAATTTAAATATACCTAAAAAAATCCTCTTACATCACATCCCAAACATTATAAATATGACATTTTATTTATTTTTTCCGCATCATAACATTACATTGTTCACAAGTTCTTTCGTTTTTTCTTTGTTTTAATCATCTTTGGTCGCCTTTTTCTTCTGTTTTTTGGTATTAACAAGACAAAATCAGTTATATTGATATTAATTTTGTTTATTTTATTACTTATTTTGATATTCTTTTACATTTTATTATAATGTTGTTGTTACGTTATACATGTAAACTGTAATATATCGTTTTATTTTAATGGTAAACCATTAATATATGTAATGTAT